GTTTGTTTAACTGCGGAGGAAGATTTTATCATGTGACTAACTTATCTGATTCATCAGATCAGCTTGCCGTAACAGTAGATATTCACAATGAAACTCAAAGTTACAGCTTAATTAGAAGCATTTTAAAAAAACTCAAGGAAAAAAAGTGTTTCGTACGTTTTGAAATGCTTGAATTGATATTAATAAGTGAATCGAGGAGAAAGAAAATAGAAGAAACATAAAGGAAATAATATCTGTTTTTAACAGTATACAAAATGAGTTGGATAACGTCTAATACTAAAGATATAAGCCAAACATCAATTTGTTATCAGAACCTTTATGACAAAATTTTAGAGACAGTTGTTTTTAGCGATAATGTAAACGAAAATTATTATTTCGTTAATTATTTTTAAATTATGTAAATATCTTATTCGTCGTTGTCTCTTGACAATGAATCTTAATTTTAGATGTTGAACGGAAAACGATGTACTTGCATAATAATTAACGTCGATGATTAATAGTATCGTGCTTAAATCGACTTCAAAAATGTTATCCTATAGTTCGATTAGACATAGTATTTTCCAAATTACAAATTATCTAAGAAGTAATGCGAGTTATTTTACTATAGTTATTTATATTAGTTCGACATGCATACAATTATTAGAATGTCGAAAATATGTTCGTTCTATATCTACTCTACTCATTTTGTATAAGTCCAATGATTTAATGTCCAGTAAGCATGTTCAAAAAACATCTCCAGTGAGGAAATATTAGACGCTTGGTTAATATTTGATTCAAATACGAAATAAAAGTACAGGAGTATGTGCAATAAATTCAGGGTTTCTCTTATTATTTACGGCCACCTAATAAGAATCCACCTAATGGGATGAGAATTTAGGACCGCATACTATTGTAACATAGACATATCGTCAGAAAGAACGTATTAACTACTTGAACCGGAAAATCCTAATAACAGACAGGCAAACTCGATAAGTCGGTCATGTATGATGGACCGACTTATCGAGAGAACCGACTTATCGAGAGATTTTAAATATTAAAACTGAGAAAAGGGCTTGGGAAGTTTTGGCCTTCTTAGGCCAAAATTGAATCATCGAGAGACCGACTTATCGAGTTTGCCTGTGTATTAAGAGAAGGATGTTAGAGTTAAGGTTAAATTAAGCTAATACTAAATCTCAAGATCGCTGATTAATCGCGACACTCATAGAAGTTGAAAACAATGGTTGTGAAAGGATCCGAGCTGTTGTTATCTTATGTATATTACTGAAAAGCATAAAGAAAAAGATAATTATTAGTCGGCTCAAGTTTTCCCTTGTTCATTACAAATTGTTATTTATTATTATGTTTTTACTTTTCTTGGTACATTGTATAAAGTGATTTTCTTTATCTAGATAATTTTGGTATCATGCATTTAAAAACATAATGTAAAACAGTTTGGTCATGTGTCGTTGTGACTGCGCTGGCGTAGTCATTTGTTTGTACTAATTTTAGACGCATAGTAATTCACACAATGAGGTCACATTGACCTTAATAGCGTCGTACGCGAGTATTTGTGTATCCCAGGTTGTAACTTCAATAATGCAGTCTCAAATGACATTATAATGTGTGCCTAATAAAGACCTCGAAAACTCAAATGACATTACCTAAACTAATTATTTATACGAAGCGAATTGAATAATCTTATAGTTATTCGAAAATAATAAGCTATTAAAGATATTACTGTTATCGTTCGATGACGTGGCGACCTTGACAATGCTGATACTTTCAATAGCCACTATGCCGGAACAAATTTAACCACTTACTTATTGTAAACGAATGAATTACATCAGTATTTTTAAAAAATGCATACAATATGTACCTGGATCTATATGCTATTACAACTAACTATTGCTTGCCTTTGTTATAAACCCGAGTGTACGTGTCTAAGTGCAAGCATTAATGAATTATATTATTAGGGCTTGTAGAAATATAATCATTTAATTATCATGACAACAAATAGCATGAAAACTCGTCCCTGGTATACTTCAACATGGTTTTTTATTATCTCTTCTCAACATCGTAGCTCTTGCTAAACAATCCCAACAAGAATTTCAACTATCTCTAGACTTTTCGAAAAAATTAACCCGAACTCGTTCTCTGTTCTATAGCTGATCTCCTCCCTCTTAACTTTGACTTCTCTGACTCCACTTCTGCTCAGTAACATCTCCTGCAAGATGCCCAACGTGTTGCCCTGTAGAAGGAAGATTAGGTCAGGTAAGTCAGCGTTAGCTTTATCATTAATTTCGTCCGAATCGAGATTAGTTATCATCGCAACTGGCAAGGAGATCCATTCATGTGCAGAATCCGTGGAAAGCTCAGATGAAATGGTAGATGGTCTGAGAGTCTCAGGAATCAAGTAAAGGGTCACACTATGGTGACCTCGTTTTGCGTGTCTCTTGAGGTAGGGGAGAACAATGTCCTGGATTAGAGTGTTTAATCTGGGAAATTATTTGGTGATCGTTAAATGGAATGAAAAATTTGTAAATACCCACGATCACAATTTGTGAATTTGTTCTTACCTTCTGTAAGCATTAGCATAAACAGTATTTCTAAGCAACGTTCTCTCCTCCGTGTAAGCGCTTGGAAATGCACTCAGAGCAGCTTCATATGACGGAAGCTCTGCCTCCATTTCGTTATTTTCTATGACATCCCTGTATGGTATTTCAAATCCTTTGATTTGTAACTCTACCACTTCTTTTGCTACATTATTTGGTACATACAATTTCCCATATCTAAGGTAATCCTATTTATTAATTCAAGCAAATCAGAAAATCCCCGAATTTGTTAAGAAGAGCATAAATAAACATGTCATATTACGAGTATACAACTGAATGCCAATGGATTATGATCCAGAATAATTTCGTTATCAGATTCTGCGAGCGCTGCTAGTTTTGACTTTGGGTATCTTAAAACTAATGACCGTGGTATTTCGAATCGAGTTCCGCAGACATTGAAGGTAACTCTATCTGATACTATCGATGGCTGTTGAGTCATTTATGTTGCAAAGAATTCTCTTGAGCTGCGGGGAATACAAATTGTTTTTGTGTCATCCGTGTGACCAGATATAATTTAATGAGTGCATCAGATGACCGAAATGCGTGGTTTGTATAAAACCGAAGAAAGTCGCTGTCAAATTTTATTGAATTCGACACTCGCCTCCCTCTGTTAGATAAAGAATTATATAATCAATTCTCTCATTATTAAATCTCCATCTTTTCCAACATTTCACTTTAGTACTGCCTTCAACGACCAAGTCTACATATCAATATAACAATGCCGATAATTCCAGTCTATCGTATAAGGTTCGCATAAGGTGACACAATGAGTATAGTTCAATAATCTGTTCGAAGACTAATTATTTGCTCCTTCTATCTTTACTCTTTCACAGTGATCCAAATCAATATCTTGTAACAACAGGGGCCCTAATCAATAACATACGTCTAACTAAGAAAGGATGGGTTCTCCCAGGACAACGCTGTGCCTTTTTCGACATCACTCCGGCTAACTACACCCTTGATCTTCAAGCCATGTCTGCTGAGAAGCTCGAATTCAACCTCCCGGCAGTCTTCACCATCGGTCCCCGTGATGAAACAGAGTCGCTCGAACGATATGCTAGATTGCTCGCTGCAAAGGATAAACATTCGGATCATGTGAAGGAATTGGTTAGAGGCATTATAGAGGGTGAGACGAGAGTAATTGCTGCAGGAATGACTATGGAAGAGATATTCCAGGAAAGAAAAGGATTCAAGGAGAAAGTCATTAAAAATGTACAAGCCGAGTTGGATCAGTTTGGTTTATTTATTTATAACGCGAACGTCAAGCAGCTGCAAGATACCCAAGGGTCTGAATATTTTGCATACATGGTAAAAATCTTAAAGCCCATCCTCATCATATTATGGCAGTGGAGAACTTCTAATCTCACACCATATAATGTATACAAACACCATTCTCATTAGCGTATGAAAACTCACGAAGGTGCAGTAAACCAAGCCAAAGTCGACGTTGCTGAAGCGAAATACCGTGGTGATGTTGGTGCCAAAGAACGTGAGGGTCTAACTCGTCAAGAGACATCGAAGATCGAAGCTGAAACTATCTTAGTCGAAAATCAACGCAAAATTTCTATTGCTGAAGCCGAAGCCAATCTCGCGTCAAAGAAGTCAGAGTATGAACGAAAGACTAAAATTGCTGCAATTGAAGCAGCTCAGGCAGCTAAGATGCGTGATAGTGAGTTACAGAAAGAGGTAGAGGAGAAGAGATTGTTATCTGAGACTGAGAGAATGAGAGTAGAACATGTGGCCAAAGCTACAGCTGAGATGGAGGCAAGAAAGGCTTTGGCCAATGCTAAATTATATGAGGAGCAAAAGGAAGCTGAGGCTTCATTGTATCGAAAGCAGAAGGAGGCTGATGGATTGTTAGCGCTTTATAATGCTCAGGCAGATGGTATTAAGAATCTTATGAGTGCATTTGGTGAAAATGCTAACGCTGCGTTACAATATATTATGGTTGAGCGTGGAATATACACCCAGCTTGCCCAGACGAATGCAGAAGCAATACAAGGACTTAACCCAAAGATTACTGTTTGGAATACCGATGGGTCTTCGCAATCAAATAGTAACCCAATCGCCAATATCTTCCAGACACTTCCGCCATTGTTGTCGACTGTTCAGGAGCAAACTGGTATTTCTCCACCTTCTTGGTTAGCCGGAATGCCTGGCAAAGGGTTTGGTGACAGTTTGAGTGGGAATGCATAGCAATAGTAACAGTAGTCTCACTATACAATTAAAGGTTCCAATCCAGTCTAATATGTTCTATGCATATATACCTGAGATTGGGCACATGCATCTTCATCTTATGTAAATGATAATAAAGGCTTATCTACAATGCTATAATCATTTCTTCATCTTCACAAGTCGAAAAAGTTTTTGTACAGAATATCACAGGGATCAAGAATTTTATATATAAGGAAAGAAGAATGAGTGGGAATATATTGGAAGAGTAGATATATTGCAAATACAAGTTCCAAGAAATAAGTTGACCTTCGTGATAGGATTATGGGCAATAAATAACCGCTCATAATACAATCGACGTCATATATTACTTTAGCTTAACTAAACGACAACCAATACAGAAATACATAGTGATAGTTAAGTCGGACAAAATCTCTCGCCCCCTTTTTTCATATTTAAAATTTTCTCGATAAGTCGGATGAGATATATAAACTCTCGTTAAGTCGGATGAACGTGATTACACAAAGATTTTGTCATCTTGCTGTCATTTGATGATGATTTTGCTATTTCATTTGACGATTTAGAAAGACGTTCTTGTAATGTGGGTCCGTATTATTTCATCGACAATCATTTCACCGATTAACTACTAAAAAAGGATAAATTCGAAATAATGTTGGTAAATATTTGTCAGTGAAATGATTGTCGGTGAAATGATTGTCGATGAAATGATTGCCTCCCTTGTAATGTATATACGTCATAGGATATTCATTGATGATATCATTCTACGATTATTTGCATTTCGAAACAGCGTGTTTATTTATTTCAGAAAATGTATAAAAAGGCAAATGTCCCAACCTTCAGAATTCTTTAATAAAGACCAAAGTTAAAGCTATAATTATAAATGCGGAAGGAACATTTATTTAAACAAGCAATAGTAATAACAATCTTTCGTTCTTTATCTGTGCATTAAAATAAAATTTACGCTATTGAATAACCGACAATCTTACAAATGTTGTATATAATCATACATGTATTTTATTACATCGGTAAAATATAAATGATAATATTTTTCTGTGACAAAGATCTTAAGATTCGAGTATTGCTATCGATGCTACTTATGATCGAGAATTTTTCGCCCTGGAAAATTTGAACGACTCAAGTTCAGTAAAATTTCTTGGCAGAAGTTATTGCACTCAAATAACGTTGTTTAGACGACTTGTCTTGATCCGTTTTCTCATTTTCAATACATTTTGGTATGTATACATTGTATAAATAAATCATGATAGACGCGCGAGTTTTTTGGCAATTCTTGCTTCTGAGTATCTTCCCATCCTTCTCTTTTTGCACTGGGCAATCAAATTTTCTTTCATTTTCGAAATCGATAACTAGTCTACCATTGGAACCTATCTTTACAGAAGCAGCATCACAAATAATGAATGACCCATCTGTTGATGTTTTGGAACTGCTTAATGTTCCTCACCTCTACTATCAAAGGTGTTGTGCTTGGTGGCTATCATGGCGAGCTTATTGCACAGTTTCTGCTTTTGCAAGCATGGGGTGTTGCAGCAAGTACTACTATTACTTATACTATTCACATTCAATGATGTTAAAAGTGTTTCCTAAATTATTGCTTGCATATGAGGCATATAAAGAGCTGCTCTTTATTATTATCTTAAAGAAAACAGTGCATATATACAGTCAAGTTAATTGAGGGTGGTGTATTATCTGATAACGCGAAATTGGACATATTATTTACAACCTAAATGCGTGGTTTACTGATGACAGAGGCGAACTTGTTACAGAAGCATATGTGAAGGGGATGGAGGAAGAGTATAAAATTCAGGATAAGGGTGTGATTATGTATGTATAAATTATTTTATTTAGTCACTATCATAGTTCTGACAACGAAAAAATTGGAGACAGATTTAATATAAGACGAATGGCACAGACATATTTTGCAACATTAAAACGTGCAGAGGAAGGTCAGGGAAGAAGATGAAGGATGAAGCGACCCGAAGTAGGCGAAATAAACTGTCAATAGACGTAAGCAAATTATTTTATCCATGAATGCAACGGTTGGCAATTATTTCACAGGACGTGGCATTAGGAGTTAAGCCTTGTTTATTCTTTCTTTCTTTCTTCTTAATAATAGCATCTAATTCTTGCGAAGAAATTTTTTGGGTCAGAAAGGTGATTATTCAAAGAGGTTAACTCAGGAGACTATCAAAAATTGCTGGCAAAAAACAAGCATCCTACCGATTACGAATTCAGAAGAAAATATCACCCGCGTTAGCTCGCAATACTACGAAGCGGAGCAAGATACAATAGATATTCTTTTCAAGAGATGCCATAGGAAAGTAACATGACCGCTGAAGGTACGAGACTTGTGTTTATTAACCAACAATGCTTAATATTAATTTATTGTATTTGTTAAACCCACAGAATTTATTTGTTGCGGACGAGTCAATCTCACTTGCTGATATGGTAAATGACGACGACATTATTGAAATGGTCTTACCCGAGAGTAATGACAGCGAAGTCAGTGAGACTCGGAAAAGATTTTGCTCGAGGCGGCATTGACCGCTCTTAAAACGATGACCGAATTTATTAAATAATTCATTTGTTGCACGAAAAGACGTGGTTAATTTATGGCGTTTACGGCGTAGTATTGAATTAAGTAGAGTGGAAAGGTTTAGGCAAGATGTTTTAGATCGTTTTGTGACAACGTTGGATTGGTGACATTCGTTGACAGCTAAACCTCATCACATATACTTTCCCACCCGCTTTTTTGAATAACATTTAATTCGGTGGACTGACTGACCATTGGTTCACCAGAACCCTGTGAAATGATGTCATCCAGTAAAACGTCAGCGAAAAAAAAGTAGTGGGCGTATTTGATTTTCTATTTTTCAAGTGAATGAAACAATAAAATGTTAGATTTATCTAGGTGAAATAGGCACTAGACAAAACTGGCACATCAGAAGAATGTTCGGTATTGTTATAGAGAATGTACTTTACTTTTGCAATGCTCAAATTATCTTCTTATTATCTGTGGTGGGTCGTGTTGTAGTGATGCGCAGTGGCGTGTAATAAGTGCATAGTGGGTTGGAGTGTGGGAGCGTAAGTTTTTATAGTGCTACACGCTGATATTGTTATCGATATCATTGTTACGGGTGATAAATAGAACAATCTCGAAATGGGCCAAACCACAGAATGTACCAGAACACCATCACTATCATAGAGATCAGTTTGATTGAATCATACGTGTGGCTTATCAAACTTGTTAGCCAATGAAAATATTTTACTGCGTGTGCTCCGGAATGTTATGCTGACTCTCACACTCCTTATTGCATAGGTAACAGTCCAAATGCTGTTAGTGTTACTCGCACGGGTGCTTTCGTTATTGATATTATCATACGCGTGACTTGTCAGACTTGAAAACATTTTACCGCGACTGTCACAATTGTTTCCGTAAATAAGAACAATAGTATCATTGTAACATACGCGATATAATGTAGTTATGTGTTACACTAGGCAATATATCGATACCCGCTTATGCTTTACTATGGTTGACAGTGATCGTTGTGGCTGACTCTCACACTCCTTACTGCATAAATCACGACAATACAGTCAACCCTCTTTATAGTCACCCCCTCTATAAGCACATCATATAAAAACCTCTTTATAAGCACCCCATGTTTG